TAGTACAAGGTCAAAGGTTCCCCATATGAGTGAACTGCTTTAAAGACTTAGTGACCATGGCATATTTGAACCGGTATTGACCAGGACATCTTGGTAGGTGTAGGTAGGTGGGTGGATATGGGAACAGAGTGGTTAAATAGAGAACCTACAAGCAGGTTCCAGGTATGGCAACTAGTGTAGAACCTTCGAGCGGACTACTTAAATTAGACAATGACTAAAGTTGTATAAGTGACTAGTTGTACATTCTTTCCATGGTTGCCCCCTGTGGTTGTAATGCAATCATTAGCTAAATGTACTATCAATAAAATCCTGGGTCACAAGTACTTACCTTAATATTTAAAAAAAAAAAAAACAATATAAGAGATCTTATTTGACCTATTTTTAATTTTTCTATAGCTAAAAATACAATTCTATTTAGATTTTTTCTTAACAAGTTATATCTATCATGATCATTAGAATAAAATACAAGTACATTCATATCTATATTTCATTGTTAGTAACATTATTATAAAATTTTTTAAATATTATAAAACTTTTTCTGTCATCATCATTATCAAAATAAGAATTTGACGATGCAGAAGAAGAAAGAATTAACAACAATGCTGAATATGAAAAATCTTTGTGAGTTAGTTCATTCTCATTTTTATTAGACATAGATATACTTTAAATCAAGATAAACTTAAAAGAAGAGAATTAAAAAGATATTAAAATCTTATAGATATAAAAATTAACTAAGCATATACATATATATTTTATATTATTCTCATATGCATAACATCCCATCATCAAGACATTTGAATTTTTTTCAAAATTGGTAATTAATAAATCCAGACTCTTTATATAACCTTTATAAGTGATTTGTCTAAATTTATCGACTATATTATTTACTCTATACAATACATTGCCAGTTAGATAATTATCATTTCTAGTAACCAATTGGACAAAGCAATAAGACATAAAGACAAAGGACATAGTAACAGAATAAATTTTTTTTTTTAAGTGAAAAATGTGTGACAGAAAAAAAAAACGAATACTTCATAACAAAAAAAATGAATAGTATTTATAATGATGTGGATCAGTAAACATATTAATTTTTTTTTATTATTTATTCATTATCTTCATTTATTATTATTATTTATCTTATTATACACAAAGAAAGCAAATTCATAAAGATTATCATCTTTGGTCTATCATGAATTACTGACATAAAAAGAACAAAATCTTTGTAAAGCAGCAGCATGAGAATTAATAACAGGTTTTTTTTTTTTTTTTTTTTTTTTTTTTTTACACTATCCATTATTAATTATCAAATTATTTTTTTTATTAAAATAATAATTAATAACAAACATATTTTTAATTAATAATTAATAACAAATTTATAATCATTAAAATAATAATCACATGAAAAAAACTTAACTAGTCGCTACTTCACACATGTATACACACAGTGCTTTTCCCAACAGAAAATTGTTTGTTTATTTTCAAAGTCGAACGTTTCGTTAACACGAAACAAATACACAAACATGATGCTGATTATTATACCAATGTGAATTAACATGGCGTAGACAATCTTAAAATAATCATTATCGTAGGATGAAGATTTTCATTCGATATTCTTTGATAGTCAAACCGAAACCAGAGAATAAGCAAACATCTTCAATTAAAACAGAATAATAAGACACAAAACCAACAATTATTCAGATCAGCACGAAAACAGATACTTACATATGAGCATTCACATACGGGATCAATACACAACATAGAATACCGGGAACACTTTTTCATATACAAAAATACAAAATAACGATAACGAATGATAAACATGACAATTGATGTAAGTCGACATAATCGACATAAATCGACATAAATCGACATAATCGACATAATCGACAATCGACATAAATCGACATAGGGGAACAACCAAGCCCGATCGACTAAACCATAAAAAGAACAAATAATGCAAATCAGGATGCGTGAATTTGTGATATAAATAAGACCATTATCCAAAGCGAAATAGGATGAAGCGGCGTAAGCATGATCATGATCAATGATCAGTAAAACAATCAACAAGAAACACCTAAGCGCAATATAATAATAAATAATAACGAAAGGATATGAACATGATCATGATCATGATCATGAAATGAAAATAATACAAAACGATACTGTTCCCGTGTAACGACAGATTCCCTAATAAAGTGTACCGACGTAACATTCTAACGAATATCTTAACCAGAAACAACAAATAATCGCCTAAAACAGCAAAGCAGCATAACACGAAACCAACATCATCCCATAAATGCGTTAATAATAAATAATTTTTTTTATGTGTTTCACACCGTGTGTAAAATCAATTGTGTAACTTCAATGTTTCCTCCTGTTACTTGTACAGTGCGGGACAGCATAAGACATCCAATTTGTTATAACTTTTTTAAAACAAATTAAAATAAAAATCCCTCTTTCAAATTTATTGTTTTTTATTTAAATAACAAATTTTTAATTTTAAAAAAGTTATTACAATTTAAAATATAGGATTTTTAAAAATTTGACACGTATATATAATTTTAAGAAATTTGATTGGGTAATATATTTTTTTTTATCATTTTTATCATAAAATTTTTTTTTTGAAATTTGGCGTCTTATGCTGTCCCACACTGTATATGCTGTGAACATTTGAACATTGGCATGGTCTAAAAAAGTCTTGGACATAGTAGACATGACAACACTGGTATAATCCATACACTCATTACGTTCGTTCCTGGTAAATGAATTTACTGTCATATAATTATATTAAGAATTTTTGATGCCCCGAAGTATCTTATTAAATAAAATAAAAAACTACGAGAGTAGTATAAAGAATAACATATTAGATTTACTGTTTTATTTATTTTAATTATAAAAAATATTTAATACATATAAATTACGAATTTAACTTTAATTAATAAGGATATGCAGATCATTGGACATGTTAGCCCAAAATCCATGAGTTGAAATTCTATACGTAGATGCTAAGCAAACTTCAAAATGGAAGGTCATAGAAATTCTGCATGCATAATTTATTTGGTTATTGCAGAACCCGGGATGTCCTAAATCAAATTGGCCAATAGATTACATATCATTGTAATAACTTGTTAGTATGATTGGAGTGCATGTCGATACCTTATTATTATTACATTATCAAATCTATGTATATCATGAGTTTATTAACCAGTTTGGAACACTGCAAGTATACGATTTACTGCTTAATTTCTATTTAAGATAAATACTGTAAATCAGGTTTTGGTGTGCGGTTAGAAAAAGGTATAAATATACTTTAAGTAAATGATTTTTTGATACTTTATACGTATTCTTGAAGTGGTTTTTTGACATGTTTTGTTTTTTTATTATGAATAACCTGAGTCATTTGAGCACGTTTTCTGAAAAAAAATTACGAAATATTCCTAGCAAAAAAGAAGTGATGTCAGTTCGTAATAAAAATGTAAAAAATGAATGGGTTGTTTGCCTTCAAAGGTTTAGAAACAATGGTTTTATTCGAATCCGTTGCTCTTGAAGTAGTGATTATAGAAACATCCTATATAAAAGGATTAAATTCGAAGTAGATCTTGTTGAGTTGCTAAAGAGCATTGGTGCTAAAGTTATCCATAGAGGTGAGTTTCTTGCTGAGTTATTTGTCAAGTTGTTGTGTATTCGAAGTTACGCTGTCGCATCGGTGTAAATATCTACTAAGAAATTGACAGCACATCGTGGCCACTGTCTTAGCAGTGAACGTTCTTTCTTTTTAGTTTCCGGTGTTCCCGAGCTGCCTAGGCACTGGGAATTCATGATGAATAGGATACACTCTAACGTAGAAAGCACTGTCGTTGACTATTCCGCCTGTGCAACTTCTTTTGTTAGTTGATGATGATGACGCAAATATTCACATTTTATTTTAATTTAGGAGATCGGATGACGGTGGCATCGACATTATATGTGAAGTTGCCACGACACGATTTATTGTCCAATGTAAAAATTGGGTCAGAGTCGATATAGGTATTATTATATTAAATTAGATGTTTGAGTTAAAATTATTATAACATATTCACAGGTCGCCCGATTGTAGATGAGTTGCTTGGTGTGCTTACTCGAACCAAGCAACCAAAAGGGACCATTGGTATCATAGTGGGCCCCTCTATGGATAACCTTACCCCCGGTGCAATAAGTGCGGCATTAGAGATAGCGAAACCATCGGAACTATTTACATATCCTATAATTGTAACAGATCCAGACCGATTACTCAAATATATGATTAATGCGGTTCTTGATAAGTTACATGGTGAACCTTATACCTTCTCCCTCTTACCATGAATTTGTTTGTCCGTTGTTTCTCATATATATATCAATAAAGCTAACCCTAGTGAACGACTTTCGCATACATAATCAGTTTAGTTTTGCATGTGTATTTTGTGGATTTATTTATTGTATTAAGATCGATGTGTAACTCGCATATGATTGAGAAGTTTTAAAAATATTCTTGGTAAAAGTGATCGGTACACGCGCACATAATTTTTTATTTGAAATTAAAAGTATTAAGTATTAAAGAAAAATGTTTTTCAAAACGTAAGATAGGAGTAATTTGACGAAGTTAACTTTATCGGCAAGTAGCTTGTCATGTGATTCACATCACCCGATTTTTATACCGTTCGATAGGGTGTCCAGAAATGCGGTGCGATAGGGTTAATTATGTGATGCGATCGAGGCCAATTATGCGATGGATGCGAAATAATTAAATAGGTAGATGCGATTTTTAAACATCTCTGAAAAGCTTATTTATTTATTAAAATTTAAAATTTCAGCATTCTAATTGAATTTTTTGACAAAGCATGCTTATAAGCCGAAAAGCTACATTCAACATTAACCAATAACCAAATATATACTAATGCAATTTCATCATAAGGCTTATTAAAAACGGTAATTGCACGTTGGACAAAAGTTTTTTAGCGTTATGGACAGATGTCAAATATTTAATTTTTTTTTTCAGGACTCACCTCTGTGTATAAAAGTCATCTTTATACAAGGGATTTCTATAATGTCGTTCTGTGGCTATAACCATATTGCTTTATATTTTCGTCCAGTTTTTTTTTCTTAACAAGAAAGAATTGAAAAAAATATTTATACCCATTTTGTAAAAAAAAAGAAACTTTATTAAAATCTTGGATATCCAAGAAAAATCGCTTTATTGATCTTATTGTTCTCATTGTCATATTTAAAAAACAGATCTATCAGTTATATTTGAGCCACATGACCAGAATACTTTTTTTTTCTTGACTGTGAGTTGTGGTTTTACTAAGTTACTTTGGGATCAAAAATAACCAACTGCAAAGACAATGTGATTGATGTTTTTGTAATGTTAAATAACTCAAAAACGCACATAGCACATAATTATGCATCATATAAAGCACTTTTCAAATGAAAAATGCATTATATCTATAATACTTCTATAATTGATATAAATAGAATTAAAGTTTGATAAAGTTAAAGTTGATAGAGTTGGGTTAGATAGGGTTGAATTAAATAGAATTGGGTTAGATAAAGTTGGATTAGATAATGTTAGAGTAATTAAAATTTATAATTAGATTTTAGAATTATAACTAAACATTTATTTATCTTTGTTTATAATAGGTCTTTTAAGAATGTCATCATAAAAGTCATTCTGAAAACCATCATTACTCAAAACACCATTGTTAAAACTACCATTACTAAAATCATTATTACTACCTAAATTACTATTACTAAATCCACTACCATCGATAGAATTATTATTACTGAAACCATCACCAAAATTGCTAGCTTCAAACTCACCACCAGCTAATTTCTGTTTATAAAACTACTACCACCATCCAGACTATTAAGTTCAAAGTTGTGAAAGAACATATTGAATGAATATTGAGACTTTAACAATCTATAAATACTTCATTTGAAAAGTATCATACAAGAATATATCAGAAAGGTAGTGTGTATAAAAAAAAAGATTAATAATACAATTGAAACTGATGTTCCAGTTGCTATTGCACCAGAACATAATATGAATGAATCAGCAAACTAGAAAGAGGAAACTACAACCCAATGAGGCATATTTAAATCACTTACATCTAACAATCAAACCACATTGTTGAAATGAATGGTGAAAACATTCAGGTTCTTATCAAGTGAGTCAAGGCCATACAAAAGAAGACGTGAACTGATCATGGCAATGGGTGGGTGTGTGGGCGAAGCTTTTTTTTTAAAAAAAAAATTAAGATCAAAAAAGAGACCAAAAAAAGATATAAAAAAAAAATCGGGCTTTTTGAGGCAGGATGTTTTCTAGAAGACTGAATTTTTTTGGAAGGTTTTTTTTTTTTTTTGTATGATTTGTGTATGCCAAATTTTGATTCAATAAAAAGCGTATCTAAATTGCATAGGCGTGTTATTTGACATTATCGATCTCGAAATCGGGTCCAGTGTAACATAAAAACAAAAACAAACCAAACCTTAAACTAACACCCGAATTCCAAGTCCCAAGCCCTAATACTAACAAATAAAAATTATTATAAATTCGGAATTCTTCGGATGCCGTCGTACAGTTGCGGGTCACATGGATTTCAGCATCATCCGATTTCACGAACATCCGCGACAACGAATATAGAAAATTCTGATTGAAAGATGGTGATGTGTGATATCAGGTACGTACGTACGCGATTTTTATGACAATTTAAAGCCAAGTAGGAATAGAAAAGTCGATGATTACATGAAAGAGCTTCAACTTCTTTTTATTATTTTTACGAGTTTTGCTGCTTTTACTAGTTTCGTCACCTTTCGCCAGTTTCGTCACCTTTCACCAGTTTCGTCACCTTTCACCAGTTTCGCCATCTCTCGCCAAGTTCGCCATTTCGCCTTTTTAAATTTTTTTTGGCGAAAGTCGAAGCCAGTTTCGCCTTTTGTCAGTGGTGGAACCCCTAGGATTCGTCTATCAACTCTACATTCAACCACAACGAACCTGCCAAATAAGGTTCAATTTCTGTTGGAACAAGTTGAAGACCCGACACGTAATTATGTATATTTATTCCTTTTTTTAATTTTTCAGTATTTTTGATCTCTGATTGTTTCTCATAGAATCAGATGAGACAGATCGGAAACAGTCAAAAGAGTCAATTATAACAGATATCCGGCAAACGATTGGATCTACTTATGGGTTCGTAGTCGCCGACTAAATTTCATGTATTTGATCGAAGCATTTCAACTTTTTTTTTTTTAGAGGCAATTACAAACTACGATGGGTACAGCAACCTCGTTCAGTTTTTGTTGTTAAAAAACCATCAAGCGAATCAACGGAGAAAGCGTTTGTGGAATTAATAAGGTGCGGAACAAAGTGGCATGCTTTTGTTGTTCTTTCATCAAAGATATTAATTTTGGTTTTCTAACATTAGTTGGCTGCACGATAAATATCCTCAACTTAATATAATAATTGAACAAGAAACTACGAAAGAGTTTCAAAATAAACTACCGTTTGTATACATTATACCCGAAGGTAACTTGTACACGATATTTTATGAAAATGTAATCACGTTAACTTGCAGCTTATTATAGGGCAAAAAGATGAATATACACGAGTCGTAGATTTTGTTGTTACCCTGGGAGGTGACGGTACAATATTACATGTGTCTTCACAATTCGATCATTCCGTTCCACCCATTATCTCGTTCTCAATGGGGACGCTTGGCTTCTTATTACCATTTCGTATCCACATCTTGTTTCAATTTATTACATAAAGTTTTATATGTTCTTGACTATCACATTCAATCGCATCGCTAGATATTCGACAGTATGAGTCGGCATTGGAGTCTTTGATCAAGGGTGACGTCTCTTTGTTACTAAGAATGAGGTTGATGTGCTCAATGTGGAACGCAGAAAGAAAAAGGATTGTGTGGAATGATAAAGAAATTGGTATTCTCGGTATTCTTGTGTTCTTACCATTAAGGGAACAATTGTTTTTACGCCAAAATATATTTAATTAGGAAATTTACAAGCTATGAATGAAGTAAACTTACACAGAGGGCGATTTCCGCATTTGACAGCAATTAATTGTTTTGTTGATGAACAATTCCTAACCAATGCAGTGGTATTTTCTCGAGACATTTGTATTTGCCTTTATTTTACCTTAAAAAAGCTGATTACGCAATCTCCTATAAGGCGGACGGCCTGATCACTGCTACACCCACAGGCTCAACTGCATATTCATTATCAGCTGGTACGTATTTACAAAAATATTCAGCGACATTTAGTCATCACAAAAAGTGTATAGGATTTTACAATAACCTACGTTTTACAAAGTTTCGTCCGACTGCAATTGTGTTTGTAATATATAGGAAATACGCTAATCATACATGAGCTTTCTATAAATGGCTCTCAAAACAAATGCATCACCTGAAAACAAAATTTTAAGCCCGCATATCTCCTCAATGATAAGTTATTTTAAAATGGTTTCTTTTTTATTTAAGGCCACTCCAAATTGATTCTTTGTTTAACATAGCAAGTTCATAGGAGTGGAGGGAGGGTACAAAAAATACACAAATTAAAAAAAATACAGCAATTATATTGGTTGTAAAAAATCCAAGATATATAAAAAAACTAAAACTGCAATTTGATTGGTTAATGTGATGTGTAGTTTTTTATAAAATTTAAACAAAGAATTAAATTGGTCCGGCCTAAACTCATAACCTTTAATGTAAAATTTTAACGAAGTTGAATTGCGCAAACTCGATCAGCGTTACGATTTATCAATTTTGGCAATGCATTTTTTTTTTTGGAAGCCTTAATTAAAATCTAAGTGATTAACTTGAACAAGAATATTACCAGTGAGAGCCCAGTCTAAAGTTATCTGATTTCTTGGACATTAAAATTGGTTAGGTTCTTATTGAGATGTATACAATTTTATCTAAACAAAACTTCGTGATTAAAATTTAATAGTAATTGTTATTAAACTTTTAATCACAAAGGTTTGTTATATAAAATTGTATACATCTCGATGAGAACCTAACCGATTTTAATAGCCAAGGATATTTTTAAATCCTAAAAACCTACGTAACAATCGGATAACTTTAGACTGAAATTATCTGAGCTTTCGTTGGTATATTCTTGGTCAAAGTTAAAATCACTATTAGATTTTAATTAAAACTTCTAAAAACAATGCATCACCAAAATTTGACAAATTTTTGTTAAAATTTTGGCATTAAAGATTATGAGTTTATGCTGATTAAATAATAAAAAAAACTTAATTTTAAAAATAACTTGTTGAGGAGGTATGTGAGCTCAAATTATTGTTTTCAGGTGATTCATTTGTTTTGAAAACTTTTGTATAATTCCTATGTTTATATATTTTTCGGACAACATATATGTAATTTATGAATTGTTTGTGAGCATTTGTCATCAATGTAGTTTTCAAAAGTATTTTAGATAGTAGATTTTATGCAAAGCCAATGAAATCTGAAAACAGAAAAGTGATATTTGATGAAGTTTTGTGAATATATAATAACAAAATTTATACTGTAGGTGGTCCAATAATACATCCATCTGTACAAAGTATTCTATTAACACCAATATGTCCACGGTCATTGTCATTCCGGCCAATTTCATTACCACCAACCGCAAAAATCAAGATGAAGGTACGTATTTATATATTAATTCAACTTTTCAGATTATATGTCAATGCTGACAATATGTATTCATAAAAAGATTAGTGAGGAAAGTCGTGCACCGTTAGAGGTAACAGTTGACGGTAGAGTAATATGTATGTTAAGTAAAGGAGATTGTTTAGAGGCAAGTATTTATTAAAATTTTATTTATTTATTGATTTATTTATTTGGTTATTTATTTATTTACTAAATAGGTGGAAATGTCACCTTATCCAATTCCGTGTGTTAACCGCGTTGGTGAGGGCGTGGATTGGGTTAAAGACATTAATGAGTTACTAAAATGGAATCAAAATTTTGTAAATAAGCAGCTACTTACTCATTGGTGGTAAATATAAATTAAAAAAATTTTTTTAGTACAATGTAAAAATTTTTAAACCAACAACTTTTTTAAAAGTAATCAAATTTGAAACAAAATATTAAAAATTTTATTATATTTAAAATTTTATTATGTATTTATGTGTTTTTAATTCTTTTGCTCAAAGTTTTTATTTTTAAAATTATAGGTTTTATTTAAGTTTCTGTTAGATAGATGTTTTTAAAAGTTTTTTTTAATACATTGTAAAGTACATTTTATTTAGCATTATTATTAAAATTTAGCAAACATGTTTTTTTTATTTAAAATAGAATTAATGTTTATTATCAGTCATACAATTTGTCACGCAGATCATGTGTGTAAAATTTTTAATTATGAGTCAAATGATTGACGCATCTAAATTTCATATGTAAAATTTAGTTTTTTAACTGTTTTAGCAAGAAGCCGTCAGTTTAAGTTCTGAGTTTGAGTTTGAGAATTCTAAAGCTTTCGAAGATTTTTTTCATAAATTTTTAGGAGTAGTATTATAATACAATTAAGAAGAATCATGATCACGAAGTTAGCCAATTTTTTGACAATTTTTGCTGTTTTTATATAAGTAATGTACATCATTTCACCAAAATAGGTAATTATGACCATCAACTAAATTGATGGATCTAGTTACCTATTTTGGTAAAATGATATGCATTACTTATAAACAAACAGTAAAAATAGTCAAAAAATTGGCTAACTTCATGAATATGATTCTTCTCAAATTTATTATAAAATCACATTTAAAATTTTATGAAAAGAACTTTCGAATGTTAAAGAATTCATAAACTTAAACTCAGAAATTAACTAATAGTTTATTCTTGCTAAATAAGTCAAAAAAGCAAAATTTACCTAAATTTTACATATGAAATTTAGATACATCAATCATTTAATCTATAATTAAAAAGTTTATATATAACAAATTGTGTAACTATTATATAATTAAGTTTTATTGTATATATAAGTAAAAATATTTAAAAAATTTTTTTATTAAATTATCAATAATAGTTTTTTATATAAATTTTTAAATTATAAACAAAATAATTATTTTTTAATTTTTATATTATATTATATTATAATTAATCTTAAAATCTAATTAGTTTGTATTATAAAAAAGAATTTTGATAATAATACTAAATTATAATTTTTTTAAATTTAAATTTAAGTTTAAATCTAATTTGAATTTTACTAAATCTCAAACTTAAGTTAACTCAAACTTAAAATTTTATTAATTTCAAACTAAAATTTAAACTTAAACTTAAACTTAATTTTTTTTAAACTTAAATTAAACTCAAATTTAATTTTAAGTTTAATTTGGTTTAATTTAAAGTTTATAAACTAATTTTAGATTTTTTTTTGTTTGCATTTGCTAAGGTTGTGATTATTAGCAACTATTGCTTTTATTGTATTTTAATTATAATTACATAACTTGTACAAGGTAAATATACAACTAGTTATATATACAACTTTTAGTTGTCTATTTTAAGTAGTTTGTCTATATAGCAGATTCTAAATTAGTTGTTATACTTGCAATTTACTAGAAGATTACTTATTTAAACATTCTAATTTCTATACTTATACTGACAAATAATGTATAAGTTCCTATACATCTAAATGTTATCTAACTTAATCTTGATCTTTCTTTTTATACATCTATCAAGCTGTTATATATTTCAAAGTATATTACCTAATTGTAAGGCTTTAGAAGATCTTTCTACTAACTAACTACTTATATTTAATTTTTGTTAATTAGATTTACTCTTGCAGAGTTTATCTAAATCTCAGAATCAACTTTATAGCATATTTTTAGTACTTATAATATACTCTTGCTTTCAACTTCAAACTTTCAATTTAGATAGTTTAAAAGGACTATGATCTGTCTCTGGTACTTCAGGATCTGCTCTCAAAAGTCTTTTTTTTCTAATTCAAGACTTTTAATAATCTGATTAGTAGTATTTTTACTTAAGATTCTTATTTGCCTGATTTTTTTTGCATTAGTATTTATTTTTTAGGTTTAATCTTTATAGTAGCATTGTTAAAAATCTGTATTATCTCTTTCTCAGGTTTTTTCAAATAGGTTCTGGCTTTTTAGTTCTACAAATTTATATAACCACAAAAACTTATCTTGAGTTTGCACTACCTGGTACTGGTTTGCATTCTTTTGTATAATCTCAATATTGTACAGATATTTCATAACCTGCCAGTTATGCTGATATAATCATAGTTACAGGTATCTTATTCTAACTAATCAACAGAATGCTATTACTATAATACTGTTTATATATTATATAAATATTTATCTAAATTTTCATTATTAGTAAGTTTTGAACTCACTATCTACTACTTGAAGATTAACAATTTATTCATTTTACTAAGTTACTATACTTCTTACTTTTAGATTTAAAATATATAAATAAATATATTTATATTATATTAAAGTTTTTATTTTTAAAAAATAATTTTATTAAAGTTATTATAGACATAAAACCTTCAAAAAGTTTTTTATATAAAAAATTATCATAGCAATATATGTATTTTTGATATTTAATTAAAGTATTTTATTATACAAATTTTATACTAGATATTATACTTAAAAGTTAATTATAAGTTTTGTTTATTTAAACTTATTATATATGCAATCCAATTTGTATTATAGGAACATTTTTAAAGTACAGTCTATACAAGTTTTTGATTTTTATTAATACTCTTAGGATTATTTTATTTTTGACAAAAGTCTTACTAAAAGTTTTTATATTTTATATATAGTTAACCTAATTTTATATAATATATTATAGTTAATACTTGCAGTTACAAATATTCTATTAAATTATTACTATTATAATATTTTTATTTTTGTAAAGTTTTCTAAGATCTTAGTATTTATTATTTCATATTATTTTTTTATTTTGAACTTAACTTTTTAAATTAACAATTCAGATAATTTAATAAACTTGTTTCTAAGATTTTTGTTAATCTGATAATATTATTAAAAGTTTATACTATCTCTTTATTCAGAATTTTTAAGTAAGTTCTGTTTCTCTAGTTTTTTAGTATTAGATACTTAGTAGTTTTATTTATTTATTTTTTAACTCTTTGGCAGCCTTGCCAAAATCTTTTATTAAGAGAATTGCATATATAATTATATAAATATTAGCTTAATTTATAGGTTTAACATCTTCTGGTTACTGTTTTAGTACTCAGAGGTAACCTGTCATACTAGAGTAAGTTTATACTTATTGCTAGAGAGCTATTTAGGCTAGCCTTTGAGGTTGTTCCAGTAAGGCCTTTTGTTATTACTAATTAATTTTCTAACTATCTTCCTCTATACAACTTCTATGTTTTCATTTTTGTTTTCATTTTTTTCTTTATATCTTTCATTTTTTCTAAGTTTTTGTCTCTTGATCTTGGTAAAACTTTATGCAATACTTTGATTTGTTGTTTTATTACTTTATTTTTGTTTCTTTTTTTTCTTGTACCAATTTCTTAACTTTTCTCTTATTCAGATACTTTATTGCATCTTTTTTTCCAAATTTTTTTGTAAAACTTATTCCATATAGTATTTATTATATTCATTAAAAAATTTCTTGTTTCTTGTACTGAAATCAAAATATTTTGTATCTTCTTTACTAACTTCTCTTGTAGAAGATCTTTAATAAGCTTTTCTTTACTTTTATATTTTCTTCTTCTGTTTGGCCTCAGATTGTTTCTTTTAGATATATTTAAGTGATATTTTTTTTTTCTGGAAATATGCTTTATGCTATTGCTATTGCCAATATTTTTGCCTTCACCTAATAGTTTTTATAAAAGGAGCATATCACTAAATAGTTCTGGTCTTCTTTTTTTTTTTCTTTGCAAACTATACAATTTGCATTTGCATATAGATTTGATTATTTTATCACTAATTCTTTAAGTATGTGCATTTTTTTTGTATGTATTTAAAGAGTATACTTAGTCTTTTACTTTTTGTAATTGAGATGCATTTTGTTCTACTCTGATTCTTGATCTTTTTCTATAATAGTACCCAACAATGCTTACTTTTTTCTCTTTCTGATTTTAGTTTTTTAACTGCTAATATACAGCTCCAATCTGCATTGTTTCTAATATTAAGAACTTCTTTAACAAAGTCTAATATTGGGTTTTCTACTACTTTGTCTTTTCAAAAAAGTGTTACATTAGATTTTGAGACAGATTCTTCTATAATTTATTCTTATCTTATATATATATATTTGCTTCTTATTTTGCTACATTATCTGCTCTATTATTCCACCTATTATTATTATGTCTCTTTATTTTTACTAACTCTAAATCTAATTTCTTTGTTTGTATTGTATCTTCTATATTTACAACTAAGTTATAATTTTTTCTTTTTATTCTTTTTTTTGTCATTATATGCTATGTATTATTATATATATTTGCTATAGCTGCTGCATTATCTGTATATATTTTAATTTTGTTTTTGTTTGGTACTAAAATAATTACATACCAAATAGCTAGCAACTTTGTCTTTGTTAAAGAAAACCATCTTCTAGCCTCAATGGCACTTTCATTTATTACATACTCTTCTTTATTATTCACTTGCACTCAACTATCTCCTATATAATCTGGCTTTTGATTTTCTTTTTTTGATTTTACTAATAATCTGTCTGTATAAAAGTTTAAGTTCTCTTGCTTAACATTGTTCTCTTTAATGCATTTATGTTTTTCTATTAATAATTCTATAATACTATTACTAATTTTTTGTTTCTTAATTATTTCAATATCTCTGTTTTCTATACAAATCTCTTTTAAATATCTTTCAGAGTTTGAAATCTTGTAATCTTTTTCTCTTACAATAAAATCTAACATATTTGTGTTAATTTCTATTTGCTATATGTCTTTTTTATTTGTATATTTTGTAATTATTTTATGAATTTTCTGCTTTTTGTATTTTTTTTCACAACTATCACCAGTACTATTGTTTTTATGTTTGCAGTCTTTACATTTACT